TGAACGTTTTGTATTTTTTTTAATGCAAAGTAATCAGAAATGTGATCTATGTTTATTATGATTATCGAAAGATATAAGTAGTATGTTACACCAGTCGGAAGTACAATGTCTACAAATAGAAAGTTGAGGGGGTTGAAATGAAGAGAAGACAGAAGAAAACTGAAAGTAAAGAAGATAACAATAGGAATGGAGTACCAATGACGCTTGTAATAGACGATTCAAAACAGATGTGCAAATGTTGTCTTGGATGTATGAAAGTGGTGAAGCCTATGTGATATGAACACGCAACCTTCAGATATGGTTAGTCAAAATAAATCCAATATACAAATAGCAGGAAAATGAAAGTGTAGTGAACGAGAACATAGGTGGGGATAATCGAATGTACTTGAATACGAAATTATAGAATATCTTAATAAAATCCGAGAACCATACAGTAAATACTTCATTAGCGAAATGTCAATCAATCGTCTTAGACTTCGTTGTTCCTTGGTTTTCACACCAATCATTCTTCGTTCCCATTCTCTTCTCTTTGATCTTTTTAACGTTGTGCCTACAAGTATTTCACTTTTGATTGACGATACCTACTAGTTATATCTGTCGACATCAGTAGCACACACTTCATTATGTTCACCATCATGGATCACATGAGAACCAATACTCCCACAGACTTTCCACTTGTTTCAGGACCTCCATCTGTCAAATAGATACCGTTCTGTGCCTCACTTAACCAAACATCTTCTCTTTCGATTGTATGCTTACCCTAGATAGATAGATAGTATTAGATAGTATTCTAAGTGGTATCTCACTCTAACGCCTCTCATCACCTTCTTTGTATTCAAGAAATTAACACCGTTAGATTCCGGCTCAGTGGTCTATCGGTAAAGGGCTCCGGCTCGAGACTGGTAGGTCCTGGGTTCGAATCTCCCGAATGCGAGATCGTGGATGCACACTGTTGAAGAGTCCCATAATGGGACGAAATGGCTGTCTAGTGCTTCCAGGTTTTCGATAGTGATCTAGCTTCAATTGAAGCATGATTTCAAATATGAAAATATTAAATTCTCCACAAAACCCCCTCTGATAAAGAAAAAAGCTATCAAATACCAAAAGTATCCACTTGAACTAAATAATCATAACCTTAAAAGAAGAAAAACTTGAAAACACAAGTCTCTCTCTATGTATATCTACCTATGTATTACAACTTTGTCAATAAATAATGTTATGTAAACAATATCTTTGTTTAATTAATCTCTACAACAACTATATACCCTATTCTTAAATTGTATGATTTAATGATGTATTATTTTCAAAATATTAGCCCCCCCCCCAGCACGCACACACACACATAAATTTCACCACGATGTCATTTATTATGTAATAGTTACCTTCGGTTGATTAATTGAATAAATTGAATTCTTAATTGTTTCATAGTTGAAATCATGAGTCAATTGAAGCTAGACCACCATGGAAAACCTGGAAGCACTAGATGACCACTTCGTCCTTATTCTTAATAGTTATTGATCATTAGAAGTGATCATAGATATAACTGTTGACTTTAAATGTATCATTGCATTATTACTATTTCTGTAATCTTTTATTAATAACTGACTGGTTGGTCTATTTGATTGTAGGTAATGTAATGAGTTACGTAATTAGAATATCAGATAATCATAGTAGGTATTTCATTGTGTAAATGATCAGATTTAGCTTAGTCGGATATAATACTAGTAGAAACTGGTAGATAAGAGACAGTAATCAGGAGAGATGGGATATTCAGGACTGTGTTAAACATTTTACCATCTTATAGTTGAATTCAAGGGTCACTTGAAGCTAGACCACCATGAAAAACCTGGAAGTACTGGACGGCTGTTTCGTCCTATTGTGGGACTCCTCAGCAGTGTGCATCTACGATCCTACCTCACGAGATTCCAACCCAGGACTTAACAGTTTCGAGCGCGAACGCTTAACCATCTCTAAATTGTTGCTAATTCATTATGAACTGACTATTCAGTTTTGTATCATTAATATTCCAGTTATCTATACATTATAAATTCTTATTTGCGGTGTTGTGTGACCAGGTAATTAATCCACATGAAGTTATGAGTTTTTGAATCATGATAGATAGAAATGAACAGACGACAATATAGCAACAGGCCATTTATCTTCATTTTAACTGGCTGTTGAAGTTAAAGAAGCTAAAATTTTACTCAAAGCGAGTAGTTTGTAGACAAAAAGTCATTGTCTCACTGAATAAGCAGTAAGTGATTACTTCAATCTCCACAAAGATTACAAATCAATAAACATACTAATTAATCGATGGCTTTCACTATAAATTGCTTGATCATATTGGCCTCATTAACAAGAAAGACTAAGTTTCATTTATTCACGGACGAAATGGATGGTAAATATTGTTATCTGTTGTCAGGTAAGTTGTTCTTACGATTCATGTAATATCGAAATAATTGAAATGATGGTATTTTTCCCAGTCCTTGTGCATGGTGGACATCTTAGTCATTTATTTATTCATGTACGTTTTAGAGTCATCTTGAATCAGAAATAAATTGGACCTCCAAGTTGTCTTATTTCTCTGTTTGCTGACCAGTTAGATTATAAGTCATTGGTAGGATAGTTTCCTTCTCTCTCCTCAAGGCTTTTCAATCATGGTCAACCTCACACATTGCAAGTTTCAAGAAGGTACTAGATAGCTTATCTCATCATAGCTGTAGACCACATCAAGATAACTTTTCCCTCTATCTCTCTCTCTGTATATCAAAATCAGACTACTGGACAGACAGAATATGATCGTAACACAACAAGCGTAAAAAAATATAAGTTATGGAGATTACTAAGTTTTTGTTTGAGATCATTAATCGATGAATGTTAGAACACCATTGAAAACCTAGAAGCACTGGATGGCTGTTTCGTCCTACACTAATAATTACCATTTGCTTACTATTGACTAGCTTCATGAGGTAATTCCTGGAGTTCTAGTGAGAAGCCATGACTACTGTAGCTAATCCATGACCTCAGAGACAGGTATCTACCTTAGACAATGAAAGACGTTCGCTGAATTTCGTGAATTGGTTCAAGTTAGACATTAACAATGTTGGATGCTAGTTAAGTGGTTTAAATGTTAAGAGTTCGCAAACTGAGACTGAAGATTCTGGTTTCGAATCCTTCTCACAGGATTATTGAAGCGCACTACTGAAGAGACATACACTAGAACGAAACGGCCATCTTATGCTTCCAAATCCTACCACCATTAGTGTTCACAGGATCAAGGAAATCAACAGAATCTTTCAAATAAACACATATTTATTAAAATTATACAACTTACTATGAAACAAAAAACAGCATACATTCATGTTAATAGTTCATATATACATATTCTCGCTAGTCAGCGGCCTAGGAGTAACAGGCGTAAGTAAGTAATATACATATTCTCACAATCAAAACTTATTCAACTATAAATAAAAGGAGAACTACTTTTAATCAGATTAGTTTGGATCATTTAATAAAATGAAATAGAACAGAAAAAAGTAGTATAGAATAAATAAACAATAAAATAAAACATGATAACTACTGATTACTAATAAGTAGTATCAGTAGTAGTATTAGTAGTAGTATTGTTAGTAGTAATCAAAAAGATAATAAATTCAACAGTTTATGAATACATTTTCAATAACTTTCAATTGGATGATGTTCTCAATAAGATGCATTCATCATATGAAAATCACAATGTTAGGATTGATAGAAGAAACATTAGTGACAGTATCCAGACCTTGACTTGGTGATCTAGTTTGCCTATCGTGATGAACCAATCGAGCTATACGGCTTGGATCAATCGTTTCTCAAGGTCCTACCATGTCAGACAGGTCGGTTGAAGAATGGTAAGACTAAAAGCAGCAAAGCAAAGGTTCGATGACGAAGTTGTACTGCTGACTGAGAGTATAATTTATGGACGATATTTGAGCAAAATTAAAGTGACATCGAGAATATTTACTTATTATCTATACGAGGGTTATAAACCAGTGTGAAGAATAAGGATTATGATTTACAATTGATGATTAGGATTAGGAATTAGATTTATGGTTTTCATCACTAATTGACATCAGCTAATAATACCAAGACGTTAGGTAACCAAATATATGAAGGAATTTTGCACCCATCAATTGTAAATCATAATCCTTACTCTTCAAACTGGTTTGTAATCATCATGTAGTTCTAATTGTTAGATGGACATCATCAAGGTCACTTCAGTATCACTCAAAGACCGTCCGTAAATTACAGTCTCATGGAAACCTTTTTGTTTCTTAACACATCTCATCATTCCAATAAGCAAATATATAAGATTACATGAACTAGAACTACATAGGTTAAAGTTAAAAAAGAAAATGCAGTTTCTTTTCTGTTGTTGTTCTTTTGAATAAACAATAAATGAAGTGTATGTGTGATACATCAGTTTTGTTTATTATTTCCTATTATGGATAATGAATGGAAGTGGATAAGACATACATTGAGGAAATCACCCAACTACATGACAAGACAAGCCCTCACATGGAATCTTGAAGGTCAAAGAAGAAGAGGAAGACCAAAGAATACATTACACCTAGTAATGGAAACAAACATGAGAAGAATGAACAACAATTGGATTGAACTAGAAAGGAAGGCTCAGGACAGAATGGGTTAAAGAATTCTGATTGGCGATTTATGTTCCATTAGAAGTAACAGGCGTAAGTTACTAAGTAATGGATAATGAATGTTTGTTTTTTCTTCCAATTTTCTAATTTGAAAATCCTATAAGATTTTTTTTAATTTTTATTAAGTTATATTGATAAGATTTTTTGAAGATCAGTATGGATGATACTCCTGAATACAACACAATGATGACATATTTGCAAGGTGATATTTACTGAAGACTGTCAGTTGGCGGCTGCTGTTCCTCCATGATGAGTAATAAGCATAAGTCAATATTATAAACAAGGTTCATATTTAAATATTTATTATAATGTCTCTTTACTATCTGTAAAACAATCATCAATTTCTGTAATATTAAATAAATCTTCATTCATTTCTTCAATTAAACTACTTTGACAATAATTACTAGTAGTATCAATCATAGTACATTCTTTATTATTTGTATAATTATGATCATAATCATTGAATGATATAAAATGTATACAAATAGTAAATCCATAAAATAATGTACCAATTAAAGCACCTATATATGGTCCAATAATAGGTAACCAAAAATAATAATTATACGCTTTGAATGCTTGAATTCCCCAACCTTTGATGTTACCATGGTAATAAAATGGAATGAAATAAACAAAAAAAAAAAAGAGAAAGGTGTCAATGAATTGGGATTAAAATCAAATGAAATTCAAACTAATGGGATTAACAAATACAAAATAAAATGACATTATATTCACTTGTTGTTGTTTACTTGTATCTGCCCCCCGAATGCCCTGATACGGCAGAGAATGGGAAGAGTTTGCTCTCCCTCCCGAAACGCTATTACATGACTACAAGCATATTGACTCTACTAGGGAAGTTCTACACACTGACTTCTAGCACAACGGTTGTTGTTTACAAAATTGAGAGTTTGAAAAGCGAATGTCTGACGCTTTAACTGGGTTGGTGAACACGGAGGGTTCACCTAGGGGACCCCTGATTCCGAATCAATGGTGCACATGGGCTCTAGTATTCTGTGGGAACAAATTGTGCATGAATCAATCGTTGATCACCGACTACCATGGGACTGCATCTCCTCACGATGCTCCACTGCCTTGTGGATCAGACATTTAGATCAAAGGCTAGAAGTGCAGCCCCCTAAAAAAAACCACCTGCTTCAGTTTGGGTACCTGGGCAGTATCACAGCTCTCACACAAATCAAATGAAATTTGTGTGGCGCATGTATATCTGGTTCCTCTTCGTACCAATATCTATGTGTTCAAATAAATAAATTTACTTGTATCTTCTCATTGTTATTTAGGACTGCAATTGATCAGTCTCTTATTGGCATATTTGCATCTTGTACGGTAATGAGTTTGAATCTTAGAGTGAACATCAACTCTCAGATGTAGGTATATCCAGCTGACGAATCTTAAATACGACAAAACACATGTACTGGATCCCACTGCCAGTCACTATCCATGTTTGCTTATAAAATAACATCTGTTGTAAATACAACTTAGTCCTACAGGAATTCAGCTGGAACCCAAATAGTTCATTGACAATGTTTCAGATTGTGAAGTTGAGTAAGTGGGTGGGGGCCTCAATCACACAAGAAACATCAGTTCTTCTAACACCGGAGGTACACCGTACTGACGAGTCCCAATCGGCACAAAACTTATCTCAGCCAGGTTTTCCTGTCTACTACTTTCAAGCACCTAAAACTTTACAGCTAACAAGAAAATAACAATCTCAGTCTAATTGGTTGAATATTTTAATTGAAGATGTTATGTAGTTCATTTCGAGTATATATTCACTCGTACCACATTTCTAGGTATCATTAGTAAACCTCACAAGATGAAACAAGTATTATCTAACTGGTGAAACTCATTTAGGTACATCAGTTTATTGAACTCTGTTTTTGTTATATCTAAGACTCTCTAACCGGATATACTAACATTCCAGTGTTCAAGTTTACATCGAGACTTTTGCTTCAAATAACCAACGGTTTATTCATTGAATTACTGAATACAAATAATCAACAACTTATGATATTCAAAACAATATTGGATCAATTTCAAAGTTTAAAGCAAAATGTATTGAGTTCCAGTCTCTTTATGACTAAGAACACTCGAATATAAGTCCATCTAGCTAACAAATCTCAGATATAACGTCAGCCATTGAAGGAATTGAAAGTGACCAACTTGGTCTCGTGTGTTGTTACGTGTATGAGGGCTAATATCATTTCCCGGCTGCCCACACCGTGGAAGGGTATTCCTTGAGGGACCTGAAAAAGAAGTCGGATTAGTGTTGGTCTTAACGACCTGGGAGCGTGACCGCAGTGCCCAAGGGACAACTGCTTGAGGCCGGTCACGCACGGCCTTTTTGTGAGGGATTTTTGACGTGTTAGCTCCGTTCTTCAAAGGACCTTACCTCCGGAGACGGAAATCCGTGGGATAAGGCGAGGTGTGCATTTTCAGGGTCGACCATTTCTGACCCCACCCCTCCTTGTGGGAAGGCAGCATCGCTGTCATGCTGGTTGTCTGAAGGAAACACCTTACTGCCGTCACACCTCTGTACAGTCGGCAGTACGACTTCGCCTTCGGACCTTGGGATTGCTGATTTTAGTCTTACCGCTCTTCAACCGACTTGACGTAAAGCACATCTTGAATTTCCCTCTTTACTGTTAAATGTTTTGATGGGACTATAATTTATGGATGATCTTTGAGTGAAATTAAAGTGACATCGAGAATGTCTACCTATCAACAAGAATTACATGAGGGTTATAAAACAAGGTGAAGAATAAAGATTATGATTTATGGTTTTCATTAGTAATTGACATCAACTAATAATGCCAAAACGTTATTCAACCAAATGTATGAATGAATTTCCCACTCATCAAACTAGAAATCATAATCCTTATTCTACAAACTGATTTATGATCATCATTTAGGTCTAGTTGTTAGATGGATATCGTCAAAGTCACTTCAGTATCACTTGAAGGTCTTCCATGAAGTATGATCTTACCTAATGAATATATATCTTGAAAGAAATATCTACATTTAAGACAATCAATAAATTATGAAATATGATTATGTAATTTCATTACATCAAGGAATTTGCTATTCTTCTTCTTAAATCACTAACTGAGAGCGAAAGGTGTCATGTTCCATTTTATATAGTTTAGATCATGAGTCAATTGAAGCTTGACCACCATGGAAAACCTGGAATCACTGGACGGCCGTTTTGTCCTATAGTAGGACTCCTCAGTGGTAGTTCGCATCCACGATCCCACCTCACGAGATTCGAACCCAGGACTTACCAGTCTCGTGCCAGAGCACTTATCCTCTAGAACCACTGAGCTGAACGGCATCCAACGGTGTTAATGTCTAACCTCAACTAATCATGTTCCAGTGTGATTGTGAATAACAATACTAGGAAGTAAGTTCACACAGTGAGTTAATCGTTTATGAATAGTAATTATTAGTTTAGTATACATAGTTATTATTCAATGTGCAATATTAAAAAAAAACACTTTGACTAGTTTGTCTACCTATCTATCTATCTATCTATCTATCCATATATCTATTTAATTAACTAACTACCTACCTACCTATCTATCAATGTATCCGCATATCTATCTATCTATCCACACTATCTATCTATATATCCACACCATTTATCTATCTGTCCACACATCTATCTATCTACCGATACTATCAACCTATCTATATATCTATCCATGCATATATCTATCTACCTAACTACCTATCGACCTATCTATCCAACTATCTATCCATTCACATATCTATCTACCTATCTATCTATCAATCTATCTATCCACGTACCTACCTACCTATCTATCTATCCATACCATTTATGTATCTATCCACCTATCTATCTATCCACACTATCTATCTATCTATCTATCTATCTATCTATCTATCTATCTACCTATCTTCATACCTACCTACTCACTTATCTATCTATCTATCCATGTATATGTATAATATAAACAATAAATAATGAAATCTAATTTACCACATAATGATATAGTTATTCTTGCACCTAAATCACTAGCTGGATTTAAACCAATACCAATATTTAATGATAATGATTCATTAATTCCCATTATTAATAATCCAATATAAATCAATTGTAATTCATTAGATATATGATTACTTATATTCTTATCTGTTATAATTAATATAATCCATATATAAATTGTATTAGATAGAATAGAATCCAATAAACATGATGAATGAGATATAGGACCAGGTAGATTAACTAATAATGAACCTGTTGTATTCATTTCTAATTTACCATTTGATATTAATTTAGTATAGATTTGTATATTTTCCCAATATATAGTTATAATAATATAAGTACCTAATATAGATCCTAATAATTGTATTATAGTATATGGAATTAAATAACGTAATGATAATTTGCCAATTAAACAATATGCAAATGTAATTGATGGATTTAATAAACCAGAATGATCATCATGACAACGGTTACTATGTCCACCCCCGCTTCCATCATCCCCATCACCACCATTAGCACAACCACCATCAGCATCATTAGCACCATTAGCACCAAAACCACCACCACCACCACCACCACCAGTTGATATTAATAAACCAATAATTTTAGCTATCCCCCAACCCATTGAGATAGATATATATTGTCCATTATTATTATTATTATTATCATCATTATTATTATTATTATTATTAATGACATTCATATTTGTTTGTATCATTACACCTAAACCAAATATAATAAATATAGTTGTACCAATTAATTCATTTAAACAATCACATAGAAATGGCCATTTAGTTAAATGAATGAAGTGAATCAATTGTTTAATGAATGTATAATAACGTGTACAATGAATGGAATCATTATGATTAGACATAAGAATTCCTGTAATGATCAGGATCAGGATACCGATAAAGATTGTGATAGTGATAATGTCGATGGTATATTCGACTTGAATTGTACCGTTCCTGTAATGATAAGGATCAGGATAAGGATAATGATGATAGTGATTATGATGATGGTATATTCGACTTGAATTGTACCGTTCCTGTAATGATAAGGATCAGGATAAGGATAATGATGATAGTGATTATGATGATGGTATATTCGACTTTAATTGTACCGTTCCTGTAATGATAAGGATCAGGATAAGGATAATGATGATAGTGATAATGTCGATGGTATATTCGACTTTAATTGTACCGTTCCTGTAATGATAAGGATCAGTATAAGGATAATGATGATAGTGATGATGGCTATGGTATATTCAATTTGAATTGTATCATACCTGTAATGATAAAAATAATGGTAAGGATAAGGATAATGATGATAGTAATGATGATGGTGTGTATATTCGACTTTAATTATACCGTTTACTTACCCTATTTCTACAATGATTGTATATATTGATCTAAATTGCATGTAGGTACATACATGTAGGTATATATATGTATATCAGTCTATATTCTATTGGTTTGTTTTATTGTTTAATGTATGAATTTGTAAAAGATGATTTTTTTTATTGACGTAATTACAGTATTAGTAATGATAACTATACTCACAATTAACTGATCACTAGGTGGTAATCATTGTCATGTATGTCAAGTCCTTCCTAATTCAGATAGAATTCTATCAACTAAGTTGCAAATAGGACGAAACGCGCGTCCTGGATTCCACTTCTAGCCACTATCCATCTCTGCTAACCATGCTTGTGAATTAAGGTATATAGAGGCAATACGCACAGTATGCACATATGCCAATTAGAGACTGACCAGTTGCAGTCCTAAACACATCGATGGGAAGATCCAAACAAACAATACTAAGTAAGTTGCAATGTTATCATTATTTTAGGTGACTCGACATTGTGTGGGCTAACATTGAGATAAGATGATGGCTGGAGGTAGTCAGTAGGAAACTCTGGGTGACCTAGCTTTCGAACTACTTGGCACTCATCAGTAAACTGTCTTTGTAATCTGGAGGGAACTGATACTCCTTGACGAATCTGATCCTGTGCTACCCAGCTTCACAGTCTGATATGCTTCACGCTAATTACGATTTCCTCGTTAAACGAACGAAGGTCAGTGATACTGTGACACGATAGGCTATTCTAATCCGTTGTCCCAGGTCCCGCTAACTACAGTGAGAAGTCCAAGACGAAGTAGGGGAAAATATATTCCGTAAGCAGCCGAAGTACAGTCAGTCACAATAGGTAGAAATCAAACGTATATCTACAGTATAAAGTTGTGTTTGGGAAGCACTACAAAATAGCACATTAAAAAGATACAACGAAACAATAGCGTTTAACAAATTTCCAGGTGGGAAATACGATTCGAAGGTGAAAGAAGCGCTTTTGTCGCGAAAACAAGGAAATTCAAATTTTCAAAATAAAATTACAAAAATAAGTCACTCACCAAATAAGTTTTGGGGATTTAACATCCCCAACACAGTCAGAGACGCTACCACTGAGCTAACAGGGCCGTAACTGACTGTACGACTGAAATGTATTCGCAATTGATTGATCACTAGGTGGTAATCAATGTTATGTATGTAGGGTTTCGCTGTTCACTCCTTTCAACCACCATGTTATCTCAACTTTAATTAATATAACATAATTCGGAAAAACTTTGCTTCGATAAACCATTTTGTCATGATCCCGTAGGTAAATTCAAACGTCTACGGACGTCCCTACAACTAGAAATCGAACGCAGGACCTCTGGGCTCTTGAGAGGACATGTACATGTTCAACTCCTATCAATCCATGATATTATGCGACCAACTTCCATTGTCTTCAATGTGTAAAGTCCTCACTTTGGACACGTTTGAAATCGATTGGTCAAGGATTCTCACTAGAACTTCGGAAATTTATTTTTGAAACGAATCACAAGTGAGTACAAAATATTTCTTTTACTTGATTAATGTGCATTTTATACATTCTTAACTGTAGGAGTTCAGAGTTAGTACATAAAATCAGTTTTTACATACTGTAACTCTTAATGGCTAATCTGACCCCAATATTAACTCTACATCCCTAATGCCCTGGTACGGCTGAGAGTGAGGAGAGTCTGCTCTCCCTCTCCAAATGATCTCACATGGTGACGCGCATATAGCCTCTGTCAGGGAAGTCCAACTCACTGCCTTCTCACACCATGGGTGTTATTTACGAAATTGAGAAAACGAAAGGCAAATGTCCGGCACGGGCTTTAACCGGGTTGATGGACACGCAAAGTCCACCTAGAGGAGTTGGAAAACCTTCATTCCAAACCAATGATGCACATGGGCTCCAGTATCCTAAGGGAACAAATGGCGTATGAAACAATTGTTGGTGACCGGCTACCATGAGACTGCATCTTTTAAAGATGCTCCACTGCCTTGTGGATCAGATTTTTAGGTCGAAGGTTTGCGGTGTGGCCCCCTAAGAAGACTATCTGCTTCAGTTTGGGCAGCTGGGTAGTATCACAGCCCTCATACAAATTAAATGAGATTTATGTGGCGCATATATATCTGGTGCCTCTTTGTACCAATATTTATGTGTTTAAATAAATAAATTAAGATCGGCGAACGGAACGATGACTCAGTGATACAATAACTAAACAAGTTAACTATTCCGATGCGTCCAAGCCCAGCTAACTAGAGCGAGAGACAGGTAAATTGTTGAAATATCTAGATGGCAGGAACAGGTAGTCCAAATATTCACGAAGCCCATCTTGTGTCAATCTTACATCTTTTAAGTAGTGAATAACGTTTTGTTGATTAAAATTAACCATAATACGGTCGGTAATATACATTCTGACGTGATATGATCCCATAAACATTATTCTAGATTTATATATATCCCATGAGCAATTAATTACTTTCATTTTCCTGATTTATTTATTCGCATACTTGAACTTCTAGAAACAATAGACTATTGTTATAAGCAATGATGTATAGTGGCTAACAATGTTTATACTGTTAGTGAATTAAGACAATATCGATGCAATACACACAGTATGGACATATGCCTATAAGAAACTGATCAATCTCAGTCTTAAACATCCATGAGAAGATTCAAGTAAACAAATATCAAGTGAATGGACTGTTCTATTGAAATATCTGTAGTATATAAGGAATAAACATCATTTGTTGGTTATCTACAGCTAACTAACTATCACCAACTAAGTGATAACTGGTTTAAAATAGTTTTTTAATGGAATATTCAATCATGATAGATTCATTTAGGGCATTATTCCTAATGAAGTATGTAGTGTAGTGGTCACCAAGATACTGATATACATACAGCTAACGACATTGAGCTACCTATTATGCAAACACGCAATGATCTATGTGTCACGTTTAGCCAAGACTTCAAAACCACTGCAGTCTATTGTGTGATGGTCAATAAAGGTTTTAAAATTCTATAGTCAATACATAGGGTTCTTAGCTATGTCATGCTAAAACGATATATTCATTGAGGTTATTATTCCTAATACAGTATGTAGAGTCGGTTGCTATGTGGAACCTACATCAATTATTCTACTTTCCGGATAGGCCAATCTATTCACCCCTTCTTAAGCTACATTTTTGTCTTGTCAATTATTTACTTATCAACCTTGAGTGTTTTTTGTTATGTAGGCGCACTCATCACATGTGTTTGTAGCTTATTTTTATGTAACTATAATTATTGATTAACATTTGATGAAATCGAATTGGCTAACACACACAGACACACATCATCTCTCCATTGTACGTCATTCGTGTTACACTCTTTTCATATTGGCTTTTTTTTCACTTCATCCCTCTCATTGTCTGTCAAGATCAATCTATGAGTGTAGAAACTTTGTATATGTATTCAAACATTTATTCATGTATTTGACTAACACAGATGAAGTCAATTATTATATACAAGGATAACCAGGATGTATATTTTAACAATAATCATTCATAAGATTTAATTGAAGTCAGATATAGATATACTACTGATGTTGACAAATATAAGTAGTATATATATATCGTAAATTGAAAGTGAAATACTTGATAACAGAAAGTGAAGAAGATTAAAAAGAAATCAAAAGCAGAACAAACAACGATTGGTATAGAACCAAATGAACCATTAAGTTTGAGATGATTGATTATCATTTTTTAAAAGAAGTATCTACTATATGAGTCTTAGATTTTACTAAGTAGTTTTGCATTCAATTACATTCAATCAAACCCCCCTCCCCCTAATATAGTAATCATATAGTAACAAACAAATAAAACTGTTTATAAACGAACCAATCTTTGAGTTACATCATATATATATATATATATATTACAATTTTATTGATCCATTAAAACAGTATTGACATAAATGAGCCAATTATAATGAAAAACGATTATTGTTTCCATGACGTTTCCTTTTAATCTCTATGCATAAAGTGACCAAAACTCCATTGAGATCATCGACATAAGCGACAAATCTCCTAATCTCTATCGTTACTACTATATACATTCAATATTCATTAAAAAAACAATCATTCATAAGATTTAATTGGATTCACATATAGAGCTACTAAAAGTGCTAACATTACAATAATAATGATTATCATTCCATATATATATATATATACTACTGATGTTGACAAATATAAGTAGTATATATATCGTCAATTGAAAGTTAAATGCTTGATAACAGAAAGTGAAAATGAATAAAGAAATCAAAACCAGAACAAACAACGATTGTTATAGTATCAAATGACTATATTATTCTTAAATTTTACTAAGTAATTCTATAATTTTGTATTCAATTGAATTCGATCAAACACCCCTCCCTTTCCAAATAGTAACCATATAGTAACAAACAAACAAACAAACGAATACATAAAAATATCTACAAACAAACTAATTTTTGAGTTACGTAATGTATATTTTATTGATCAAATAAAGCAATATTGACATAAATGAACTAATTATAATGAACATCTATAATTGTTTTGATGACGTATGCTTTTAATCTCTATGCTCAAAAAAGCACCATAACTCCATCGTAATCATTGACCTAAACGACAAACCTTCTATATCCAATCATTTCTACTATATTAATAGAAAGAAAAATATGAAACTTCAACAAATCTATCATTCATTCTTATGGAAAATTAAAAAAAAAAATTTTTTTCCAAATTTTATTGATCAACAATTATTTTTGAGTTGCCTTAGTGAATTTATTGGTACATTGATATTAATGATTATTGGATTAGGTAATATGTTACATAATACTACTAATAATAGTAATGATATATCCATTGGATGGTCTATAGGATATATATTATCACATATTATAACTAATCCTATAGGTTATAATAGTATCATGAATCCATCGATAACAATGGCATTAGCTATCATTCATCAATTACCATTTCATTATATAATACCATTTACTATGATACAATTCATTAGTTCATTATTATCCAGTTTGATCATATATTTTATATATTATAAAAATATGATTAATACTACTATTACTACAACTACCAATACTACTACTACTACTAATTTTGCTACTACTAATTATACTACTGAATTCGATTATAGTAATATAATTTTATTGAATCAATTTATTACCACACCATCTGTATCTCATTATATCTGTTTTATAGATCGTTTATTATTAAGTATGATTACAATTATATTTATATTAATAATACGTGATAAAAGAAGAAATAATAATAATCATAATAAAATTAAAAAAAATTATCAAATTATTTATATTGCATTATATACAATTGGACGAATTAGTTCCTTGTCAATGAATGCTGGTACATCCATTAATCCAATACGTGATTTAGGGCCAAGAATAATTATTGCATCATTTGGTAAGTGTATATGATTATTATTTACATGTTTGTTTGTTTGTGTTTTAGTTTACTTTCTATTGACATACACTATTGGTACTGCTCAAGTGTCCAGACCGAAGCAGGTTGTTTTCTTAAGGGCGGCTACACCCAGAGCCTTTGACCTAAAGATCTGATCAACAAGACAGTGGAGCATCATGAGGAATCCCATGGTAGTTGGTGACTAACGGTTGGTTCATACGTCATTTGTTCCTTTAGGATACTGGAACCAATGTACACCATTGATTTAGAATCAGGGTTTCGCAACTTCCCTAGCTTTACTCATTATGTCCACCAATCCGGTTAAAGCTCCTGACATTTGCTTTTTGTCCTCTCAATTTCGTAAACAACAGTAATACCACGAGAATTCGATGAGTAGGATTTCCATGGTAGAGGTTATATACGTGTGGTCGTGTGAAAGCATTTCCAGAGAAAGTGCGGGGCTTTTCTATTCTCAGCCATACCAATGCATTATGAGGTCTATGGATAACTTTCAATGGACATTAACTACAATAATGATGATGTACTCACTTGTGCATCACCTGTCAACCAGACAGCTGATCATTATCCTTTATTTCACTTTCCGACTAAGAGATTTAAATGATGAAGATGATTATTGAAATGCTTATTTTTATTAGATTACTTTTGACAAATATAGTCCGTTAATGGTAGAACCATACAATGAATATTTATCATTACTCGATTTGGACTGTTGATAAATTTTAGCAAATAAATAGAGTATTTAAATTTTGACTAGCAGTCACACTTACGGATCTGGTTTCATCGCATTTGGTATACATCAACTGGATGTTTATGTATTTCAAATGTTGATATTTAAATCGGAAGTTGAGCTTAGCACCTTTCACTTCAAACACTAACTTTTTACCCACTGAGAATTGGGTTCTACAGATATAATGCTTAGTATTGTCGCTAGGATCAGGATATCACTTTGTTGATATCCAGGACCATTTGTGCGCCCGATATTCCATTTCTAGCCACAATCTATCTATTCTAACTAAGGTGAACATTTTAAAATCTGTAGTACATAGAATGGTTAAGATCTGAAATGATTGATTTCAAATGAATTGCTTTCATTTGTACTCATTAATAGTATAACTCTATGTATGATTACTTTAGTGATTTGCTTATTATAAACCGAATAAAGGGAAGAAGCTGTTAAAATGTCAGATTTCATGAATACTAAAGATTATTTAACTGTTTATATGAACTGTTAGGAATGTAAGCAAGAAAAGAAATAATAGTATGGTTCCTTTTCAACTTAGAATTCATTGTCTATTGTGACTTTTCTGTATAGATGACGCTAGATTATGAAAAGATTCCATTTTGTGTATTAGTTGAAGTTAGACACTAACACCGTTCGATGTCAGCCTGCTCAATAGTCTAGGGGTTAGGCGTAAGAGAGCGGAACCGACAGGTCCCATATGAATTTGAATCTTCTAATGCGGGGTCGTGGTTGCCCACTGCTGATGAGTCCCATACTAGGACGAAACGGCCGTCCATTACTTCCAGGTTTTCCATAGTAGTCTAGCTTCAATTGACTCATGATCTTAACTATTAAAAAAATATTCCATTTGTTATTCATTATTGAAATGAATTGAAACTGGACTCATTTATCAAGGTTATGACTTGAGCTGAATACTGGTTTCTGCTACTGAAACTGTAATAAACGAGAACAGAAATGAGGACAACCGAATGTATTTGAATACAAAATTACAGAGTTACTTTGTAAAATTTGAGAACCATATTATAAATACTTCATTTGTTAAATGTTAATCAATAGTCTCACACTTTATTCTCCCTTTGTTCCCATAACCATCATGCTTTGTTCTCATTCTTTTTTCTTTGATCTTCTTAACCTTCTGCTGCCAGGAATTTCATTTATATATAAGTAGCATACACCACATTACAACTATTTACTACAACTGCACACTAATATCCGTTTTCTTCATAGTTGAAATGATGAATCAATTGAAGCTAGACCACCATGGAAAACCTGGAAACAATGAACCGCCGTTTCGTCCTATTATGGAACTCCTCAGTAGTGCACATCCATGATCGCGCACTCGCGAGATTCGAACCCAGAACCTACCAGTCTCGAGTCAGAGCCTTTAACCGATAGACTACTGAGCTGGCATCCAACGGTATTTTTGTCTAACTTCAACTGATCCACGAAGTTGAGCAACCGTTCACCAATTTTCTTCGAGACTGGTAGGTCCTGCGCGATCATGGATGCGCACTGTTGAGGAGTTCCACAATAGAATGAAACGGCCATCCAGTGCTCACAGGTTTTCCATGGTGGTTGACTCATGATTTCAACTATAAAAATACTGAAATATCCACAGTACCCCTTCTGATCTAATATCCATTTGTTACCTATCACAATGGAATAACAATGTTATTTCTCCTTACGGAGGAAAACAAGACTGTAGAAGAAAACTGATTTATTCAATATTTACTAATTAAACTACATCTTCAATATTTGGTCGATCAATAAATTTGTGCAAACGGTACTAAAAATTAATCAATAATCTAATATTGTGTACATAGTTTTACTAAAATCGATAAACTTACCGACATCCCTAAGAGATATCATTGATTACATAATTATATATTTGCTTTCTTTTTTTTTAATGTTTATCTTTTTCATAATGAATGTTTGTTTAGATTATGGAATTCCATAATTTACAGAACAGATTAATCTAAATTAAACAATTATTGATATCCAGATAGAAGTAGGTAACTATTCCGTTATAGTATTGAATTGATTTCAATAATGTGGTACAATATGTACAGAGATAGATAGTGGCTAGTAGTTGAATCCAGGACGCATCTTGCGTCCCATTTGGGACTCGTCAGGAGGATGTACCTGCATCTCAGAGATGATGTTCACTTTAGGGCTCGCACTCATTACCTTTCGATTTATACGCCATCGCGTTATGCACTTAGCTACTAAGTCCTGAAGGTATATCCAGCTGACAAGTCTCAAATAGGACGAAACGCACGTCTTGTATTCCACTGCTAGCCATTATCCATCTTTGCCTATAAAAGCTTGTGACTTAAGGCAATATTGAGGCAGTCCGTACAGGATGCACATATGTCAACAAGAGACTGATCAATTGCAGTTCTAAATAACAATGGGAAGATATAAGTAAACAACACCAAATGCGTTGTTACAATAGTTTTAAAACAAAACTATGATTAGTGAAATACAACCATGTTAGTTGTGGGTTAGTCAACTAAGCAATGACATATAAAAGTATTTGTATAATATTATGAATGATTTGATGTTCAATATGTAAACCATTAAATGATAGCGCTTATGTTGAGACAAGAGTTTCTTAGATTCGATCCCCTATAGGGTCAAGGGTTCTCATTTGTACAAAGTCCTATCATAAAACGAAGAACTTGTCTCACTCTCTCACACACACTTTCTTTCTTGACTTCAATAGTTATCTAATTAAAGTTAGTTTGTGATGAAGATTAATACTACTTAATATAAAGTATACACAATCCATTTTTTTTTCTTTTTATAGAATTAGGTTTAGATGCATTCAAAAAAGATCATTATTATTTTTGGATTCCAATTGTAGCACCATATATTGGTTGTATTATTGGTGCATTACTTTATGAATTATTAATTGGTACTTATTTAAATCAAAAAGTAATGAATAAATTACAAAAAACTATAGAAATATCATCATCATCAACATCCCAATCACCATCATTGTCATCATCATCCAGATCATCGTCATCATAATCATCATCATCATCCAAATCATCATCATCATCATCGTCGTCATCATCATCATCATCATCATCGTCATCCTCTCAAATCTTTTCAATATCAAGTATTCATTCAAATAACTAAACATTGACCTTTTCAAGTTATACCGACGAACATTTTTATAATTATTAATTGATTATTAAATATTTTATTAAATATTATCTCCTCTTTTTGGTGTAATGAATAAAATCATAAGTGGAGACGATCGGACGTATTCGAACACAACATTACAGAACATCTTAGTAAAGATCTAAGAACCATACAGTAAATACATCATTTGTAAAATGTTAATCAATCGTCTAAGACTTCATTGTTCTTTCATTTAGACATTAATCATTCACTGTTCTCGTTCTCTTTTCTTTGATTTTCTTAGCATTCAGCCCCCTCCCCCCGCAGACATTTCATTTTCGATTAATGAGACATACTACTTATATTTGTCGCATCAGTAGCATATACCATACTAGTATGAATACAACATTTTCTACATTTCTCATTTCACTGAGTAACGTGATAATAGGGTCTGATAATAACTAATTGGAGTTATTGAAATCTGACCAATACCTTGATTAGAATCCCAATTCCTATTCGTCCGAGATCCTTCAATCGCCAATCGGGTGACAGAAAAGTCTTCTATGAATAACCCTTCATTATGACCTAAAAACGTTTAGGTTGATACGCGTTAATCGAATTTCTACGCAGCATCACAAACAAACAAAATCATAATTTGTACATAGCCAGGTGTTAAGTGATGTAAAATCGAGCAATCAATCAGTCAGTCAGCTACAACGTGGTACCAGGCACACATATTCGTCGTTTCAAATCGCCATACCTCATTAGCACAACAAGATCAACACCAAATTCATGGATAAAGTTACTTCAATGATAGTGAAATATAAAAGAAAGATTGTATATAAGGATATACTACAGGGAGGAAGGAAGTTATGAAGCCATTTTAATCTCATACTTTAAAATAAGACAGAGAGTATATACACCATTGTGATCAATTCTGAGCCATGTCACCCAGAGTCTCCAATTACTGGTTACGATACTCGTGCCCTCAAATGCCCTGGTACGGATGAGAGTGAAAAGAGTCCGCTCCCCCTTTCCAAATGCTCTCATATGGCCACGCGTATATAGCCTCTACTAAAAAAGTCCTACTTACTGCCTTCTCTCAATCAGGGTGTTGTTTATGAAATTGACAGGACGAAAAACTAACGTCCAGCGCTTTAACCATGTTGGTGGACACGGATAGTCCATGTAGGGGAGTTGGAAAACCCTCATTCCAAACCAATGATGCACATGGGCTCCAGTATCCTGAGGGAACGAATGGCTTATGAATCAATCGTTGATCATCGGCTACCATGGGACTGCATCTCGTAAAGATGCTCCACTGCCTTGTGGATCAGACCTTTAGGTCAAAGGCTTCGGGTGTGGCCCTCTGAGAAAACTACCTGCTTCAGTTTGGGTACCTGGGCAGTATCACAGCCCTCACACAAATCAAATGAGATTTGTGTTGCGCATATGTATGTGGAAGCGGAAAAGAGGAAGGCCAAAGAACACATTACGCCGGGAAATATGAAAAGGATGAACATCAACTGGAAAGAACTGGAAAGGAAGGCTCAGGACAGAGTTGTATGGAGAGTGCTGGTGAGTGGCCTATGCTCCTCAACAAGGGGTAACGGGCGTAAGTAAGCAATTAAGTAATATGTATGTGGTGCTTCCTCGTACCAATATTTATGTGTTTAATAAAATTAAAAAAATTGTCGTACAGATCCCAACCAAGTAGCCTGAATCTACTAACATAGCTCATATCAGAAGTTAGTGACTTCAAGGATTAATGCAACTTTTTTGATTGACCTCCCCTAACTTTCTTCCTTCCGACTCCAACACTTGTCAACATAGCACGTTGCGGTAACCGGTGTTTAGGCATACGTAACATGTGGCACAACAGAGCAATAGATGAGTTACTTCTGTAGGTAATAAGTTAAATCCAAGCTTGTAATTAGTACAGTATAAGAATAACTATTAGGTCCTATGAAAGCTTGTGACTACACGACCAAGTGATTCGTAAAAGCCAGAGATCGAAAATAAATGGAATACCGTATGCAAACCTCAATTCATAAATTATCTATGGTTTTGATGTAGGTTGGTTCTCTGAGCTGGATGGTTTGGTGGTGGAGCTTTCATCGTCCTTCTAAACGAAGTTTGTACTGATGATGTCGTTCAGAAGGGCAATGAAAGCTATACGACCAAACCATCCAGCTCAGAGAACAAAACTCCATCAAAATCACCCAAGTGAGCTACAAATCTTCTCCACCATCTCAATTCTTCTTACAGTTGATAAAAATCTCAACGTATTCATCTTAACGATTAAATGTACCATCCAAATGTATGTACACTTGACCATAACTATGAAATAACTATAACATCATCAGCACAAACTTCGGTTAGAAGCTCCAGGACCAAACCATCCGGCTCAGAGAACCAACCTACATCAGAATCACCCACCTGAGTTACAAATCTTCTTCACCATCTCAGTATCTATGGTGTTTATTGTCCTAGTATGCAATCAAATAAAAAAAACGATTCCTGAAATGGATATATATAAATGGTAATTACAACAACATATAAAAGCCTATGTAATAGCTAGCAGTTGTTAAGTGACTACAAGGGCGGATAATAGTCCATAATAGGAAAAAAACATTAATTGAAAACCATTAGAGCAAAACAACTGTTCAATAAATATAATGGAAGTCAAGGAAACTGTTAAAAGTTTTAGGAATATACAATTATGATAGCGATAAATAAAGGGAACATTAACAGTTTATGTAATAGTTTATGATAATATACAACAGCATTAGGAAACAACACGTTATGTCAGAAGGGGTTTTGTGGAGATTTAGTATTTTCATAGTTGAAAGCATGAGTTAATTGAAGCTAGACCACCAAGGAAAACCTGGAAGCACTGGATGACCGTTTTGTCCCATTATGGAACTCCTCAGTAGTGCACATCCATGATCGCGCACTCGCGAGATTCGAACCCAGGACCTACCGGTCTCGCGCCTATCGGACTCACACTTTCAACACCTTATATGCTGAAAAGTTACTAGAATTGAAACTGGTTACTAGTTATTTATAAGTAGTATAATTCATACGTAAAAAAGGATGGGACAAGATGATGACTGACAGCAATGTCGTGAAAAGAAATTTATTAATCTACCCTCCAAAAGTTTTTACGATCTTTTCATCTTAGAAAAATTTGTACAATCCGACAATTCCTATGTTTCTGTCATCATTATACCTAGTTGTCCGCGAATATCTTTAACTGGCTTTTACTTGATACTGAGATCCCATGTCTGACTATGAATAGTGAAAACCAAGAACCGGTTATGAGAATATACTTTTCTCTTCTCACGAGGTCCCTTAGCGATGTACATCCATTACATGAGAGAAGGTTACACCTAATACCTTAGTCTTCGTACCTAAACACTTTACTTCTGAGCTGACGTCTAAAGTTGTATTTATCTAACTTTTATCAATTCATTAAAATTCACTATCATTTACCAATATCTTCAGCGAGTAAATGGTTGGCACTCTACAATTTTAGACTCCATTAGTCACAGGTTCTTGTTGTAATTCTAGAATTATATATTAAAACCAGTTGCTAGTGTCCATATATTATTTGTATGAATATCAACATACAGGTTTGTTGAGCTTATTAGAGTTAGCCATGTAAACCAATGTATTCTGGCTCAATGCCCCTAAATGTTCACTTTGGAATCTGACGATCCTTAGTTTAATCCTCAGTGAGGTTGCACATGCCCACAACCCCTTAGGAGTCCCATACTGTTACGAAACATCTGTTAAGTGCTTCCTATTTTTTAATAGATAATCCTTTAAAAATTGTTTCCATTTGCTATTTATCCTTTTCATATCTGCTTCCCATTCCCGACGTAGTTTGTTCTTTGGCCTTCCTCTTTTTTGTTTCTCTTCAGGACCCCAAATTAGTGTTTGCCTCATGAGGTAGTTTGATAATTTCCTTAATGTGTATCCTATTCACTTCTAACATCTTTTCCTAATCTTCTCTTCATATTCTGAAATAGATTAAAGAATAAATGGAAAATAGTAAAAGTATATATACTGAATATCAATACGTTTAATGATAATAATAATAATAGAAATAACCTTTCTGTCACAATTGATTGATTCCTGGGTGATGATCAATATCATGTGTGTCAAGTCCTTCTTAGTTCAGATCGAATCCTATCGATCAAGTTGTAATGTGGTCACTAATCTAGGTGACTCAACACTGCGTGCACTATGTTGAAATAAGAGGTCAATGGTCATTACACAGTGATCAATAAATCATGAATACATTTTAGTCTGATAGAAGGTCAGTCGCGACCCGGATATTTCAGTGGTAACGTCTTAGACCATGAAGCTGGTTGACACGAGATAGAATCCGTCAGTGAACACCAGTTCCTTTCAAGATTACAGGTATACCTTGCTGATGAGTGCCAATTAACACGAAACTCGGGTCCAAGGTTTCTTGTTAACCACCTCCCACCATCGTCTTATAATCTTTTTGTCCATTAATTCTACATTTTACATCATTCTTATGTCACTGTCAAAATGTAGATTGACCAAATATAATTTCTGAATAGATCATCGATTTTGTACTTTACACTAGAAAAAAGAACCCAACAACAATACTGATATGTATAATATGATTACTAAAAGGGGGGTATAGGTACATTATTTGATTGGGAACAATTCATTACATGTTGGCATCTTTACTAGAAAAAAAAGAAAAAAAGAGAAAAAAAGAGAAAAGAGAAAAACAAGAAAACTATCTTATCCTATCAACATCAAAAAACTATGTCCATAATTGAGTTTATTCATGTCATAATGTTTATTCACATAACTTCCAAAAAGAAAGAAAAGAAAAAAAATCAGTTACTTTATCACGTTAT